ACGAGCTATATAATCAAAGTATCCATATAATATTATAAAAGATAATCTCAAAATTAAGATTCGATAAATAGAATAATCTGAGAAATTCTATAAATCGAACGGGCCGTTACATATGTGATGACCCGTTTTCTACAAGTACGATTACCCTTTGATCCTTGACCCATGCTGGTAGTCGCATCATTCTTGGCCCTCTGATTCCGGCCATAGCATGCATCGAGATCTCAGGTCTTCATTAACTGCTTCCAAGTTGTCCTCTGGGTCCGGTTCTTCCTCGATTTCATCTTCCTCATCGTCGGGATTGGCTACTTCGATCACAAAAGTTTGTTTACACTGATGGCCCAGTGTAAACTTTTCTTCACATTTGAAACATAGGCCTTTCTCGCGTCCGCGTTTAAATTCCTCGGGAGACAGCCTCCTTACTATCGACCCTACCGGCCGATTGCTGACGTTCGGCTGTGCGTTGGCCGTTGCCTGGCTCGGTCCCGTGCGTCGCGTGTCCGTGAATCGCACATCCGCCTGTCCCCTTCTCGTGGCGACTAGACGGTCTTCTCGTCGACGGGCTACCTCCATGGCGTTATGCATCGTGTCTGGTCGCTCCAGTCGGACTTCTGCGGCTAGATCGAATCTCCGCCCACCTATGAAGGCTCCTACTAGTGCATCCTCAGACCAATCTCGCACGCGGCAGGCCAATCGTTCAAACTCCTTGATGTATTCACGCAAATTGCCTGTCTGTCGTATTCGTGCGAGGGCCTCATTATAGTTATGGTAATCGGACGTACCAAAAACGTGTGAGAAATTCTCTCTCAAAGTCAGTCCACGTAATGACCTGTTGCCGTCTACGGTAGATCCTTGAGAGCCATTGCCACTATACATTGGCCTCACCATCTAGGTAAAAGGCTGCGTACCTTACTCGGTCGTGGCCTTCGGTTTCATTCAGTTTGAAATATTGCGCAATACGGTTGAGCCAAGCCTCCGGATCACTACCCGTGAAGATGGACATTACGAACCTCGGATTGTCGGGCTTCGGCCGTTCTCGATAGGTGGACGCTTGCGACCGTTGATCAAACTCCTCCTCATGCTCGTAACCCTCGCGTCGCCGGTCCTCGTCATGTTTGTGCGCGTGCCGTTGCTCGCGTCGATCCTCGCGCCGTGGTGATGGTTTGCGATCGGCGTGCTCGGCGTGTCGGCGCGGTTCGCGCCTTAGGGGATCGTCGCGGTGGTGGGGTTGCTGCTGGAACGCGCGCAAGACTTCCTCTAATCGCTGTTCGAGTCGTGTGACAACGGCGTTGGTGTTATTTTGACTTTCGACAAGCGCTCCAAGCCTTCCTTCCATAACCTCGCTCATACTTCGCATCTGGATGTCAAGGTTGTC